TAGGATTCTGAGATTTAAAAATTGTGTTGTTTTAAGCCACTGTTTATAGTAATTTGTTATAGCAGCAATAGGAAAATCATATATTCTGCTAATTTGACCTTTCAGATTACCATTTATATATTCCATAAATTTTCCTTTCTTCCTTTCCTTTTTAAGCAAAATAATGTAATAACTTAGTGTTAACTTTTAGTTGCGATCACAATCCTGACAGGCATCCCCACGTGGATCACCTTGACCGGACTGAAGTGTTTACCCATATTTGGATTTCTTCTTTGTTCTGGGGAATCTTCTTAGAAATGGGCCATTTTTTGGTCCCAGGGCTCTTCAGGCAATAAGAATATTGGGCTCTGGTTCTCAGGTTTCTTTATGATATACACTGTTTTCTCAAAGGCCATTCTAGACTCCCTGAAACCAGAAAGTGAATTCTGGAATCCCTAAACTGTTTGGGGATTCTAGACCTAGAGGTATACAGGGCAGAGCAAATGCCTCATGGCATAAGTAAACTGGCACACTGTAAATCAACATACTTGATTATTTTTCTCTGTGGAGTGCAGAAGGATTAAAGTATCAAGGACTAGAATTAAGAAGCAGAGTACATATTTGTATCAAGGTAGCACTATTTTCCTTGTCTCTGAAAACAGAGTTCTTTATAGTCCAGATTGTAGAATCTAAACTTGTTTTAAATAATAAAAGCTAAAAGTAAAAAGAAGTAAAATGTAAGAGTTATTGAGCTCTTACCATGCACTAGGCACTATTCCAATTTCATTTAAGGTTCATTTAAACCTCTCCAGAACTCTATGGCTTAGGAATTATGATTGTCCCTGTTTTACAAACGACGAAACTGAGGTTCAGTGTGATTAAGTAGTTTGATCAAGTTTACTGGCTTAGACGGAATGGAATTCATATGTGGAAGTTCTGATACCCAGGGTATTTAGAAATGGGGCCTTTGGGAGTCAGATAAGTTTAGATGAGATCATAAAGGTGAGGCCCTCATGATAGTATCCTTATTTTCTCTCTCTGCACCACTTTTTTGTGAGGACTCAATGAGAAGACACCCATCTGCAAGTCAAGAAGACAATTCTCTCAGGAATCAAATCTGCTGACACGTTGATCTTGGACTTCCCAGCATCCAGAACTGTGAGAAATAAATGTCTGTTGTTTAGGCCACCCAGTGTGTGTGGTATTGTTACAGCACTCTGAGTTAAGATGGTTAAACAACTAGTAAGTGGCAGAGCTGTTACCTGAACTTGATCAGTCTAATTTAGAGACTGAGTTCTTTTCTTTTTTAAAGATTTTATTTAGTTGACAGAGAGAGACACAGTGAGAGAGGGTTCACAAGGGGGAGTGGGAGAGGGAGAAGCAGGCTTCCCACTGAGCAAGAAGTGCAATGCCGGGCTCCATCCCAGGACCCTGAGACCATGACCTGAGCTGAAGGCAGACGCTTAACAAATGAGCCACCTAGGCGCCCCAGAGACTGAGTCCTTAACTAGTATCTTTTACCATAAGTTAGAGGTTTACTCATCATCCACAAATACATGTATCCAGAAATTAAAATAAAGGGATGCATAGTGAATGACTAAATAGAGGAAAGGATATTTCCACAATAAAGACTATTAGTACCAAGGCAAATTACAAGAATACTTTAATTAAAAGTGAAAAGATGTGGATGCCTGGAAGGCTCATTTGGTTAAGAGTCTGTCTTCAGCTCAGGGTCATGATCCCAGGGTCCTGGATGGAATCCCATAGGAGGCTCCTTGCTCAGCCGGGAGCCTGCTTCTTCCTCTGCCGGCCTCTCTTTCTCTCTCTCCCTCTCTCTCTGTCTGACAAATAAAAAAAAAACTGAGAAGATGGTCTCCAAAAATAGTGTTTGGGAAGAGAAACTTCTACTACAAGCCTGGAATAATGTGTTTATAGTAGTTTAATCATTATAGTTTTATCAGGAAAAGCTCACTGCACTGGGAATCAAAAGAACTAGATTCTTGCTGTTTTGCCACTAACCAGCTAAGTAAGCTTGATAAAGCCACTGCATTTCTAGGCTCTAGTTTCTGAGAATAGCATTCATACTTCTGAAGAAGGCATTGTAGGAAAAAGAATAAAGGGGCACCTGGGTGGTTTAGTCGTTAAGTGTCTGCCTTCAGCTCGGGTCATGATCCCAGGATCCTGGGATCGAGACCCATGTCAGGCTCCCCTCTCCCACTCCCCCTGCTTGTGTTCCTTCTCTCTCTATCAAATAAATAAAATCTTTTAAAAAAGGGAATAAAAACGTTTTTTTTGTATCCACAGGAGAATCAATATTAGCATCAAGAATTTATTGATCATATGCCTATTTGAAAAGTACAAGGTAAGTAAAAAGTTAGAAGGGACAAGACTGATTAATTCCAGTAAGTGATAGAGTAGTGAGGACTGAGAAATAATGCTAAAATTATAAAGAAAAGTTAAAAAAAAAAACTATCAGTAAAATTAAGCCTACATGACTCATCTTCTTTTGCATCCAGGTAAAGTGGGATTTCTAGGCATTTTAAGAGCTTTTATAAATTGCTCTATCCCATCAGAGATTTCCTTAAGTTAAGTTGGCTTTTGGTTCAAGTCAGTTCAATTCAACCTACATTTACAGGGTATCTTCAGAGATGATTTGCCCTGAAACTAAGCTTCATTCAGGACTTGAACAGCCACTGGGAGTGCCAGAGCTGCTAGGAATATGAAGTTCTGGTGGGAAGCAGAAACCGGGTTGCAGACAGAAAGCATTTCTATGTAACATTTTTGGTAAATTGCCTAAAAATATCCACAGAAGAAAGGGACCTGATCTCCAAGGCCTTAGTCATTTGTTCGATTTCTATTTTGCATTCTAAATACTCAGTTTTCAACCTCTGTCCATAACACTACATTCTTTCTCTTTAAGCACCTTGCCCTCCATTTATACATCAGTTTCAAATACCAGTATCTTCTGTGCTTACCATGTGTTATGCCTTGAACTGATAGAGATACAAAGATAAAGGAGCACACAGTTTTGTAGGAAGAAGAGGGCAGAATTAGACATAAAACAGTACTAGTCTAGTGGTAGAAACAGAGTGTAATCAGGGCGCATGAACAAAACATTTGACAATATTAATTTGTGTCCTTATCTTTTGAAAGATATTAAACTGCCCAAACCTCTGGGAGTTGGAATTTTGAACCTCTGTGAAGTAGTCTGTGGCCTGGTGTTTCTTAAGCTACCACTTTTCATACTTTTTTGACTGTGATCTGGAGTGTGGCAGACGTAAGTGTTCATAAAAAGTACTACATGTCCCCCTGCATTTCTCAGCCTCCCTTGCAGTTAAGGTAGATCATGCACCTATTCTGGTCAATGGGTCAGGAGAGGAAGGGATTGTACTGTTTCTGGTTCAAGTCTCTTAACACTGATTAAGAGCCAGTGAGAGTCCTCTGTGCTCTCTTTAGAAAGATTTTTAAGCCTAGAAGCAAAGAACCAAGAGGCAATAGTTGAAAGATGAAAATATGCTAGATCCTTAAAGATCTGGAGGACAACCACCAAGGAGGTCAATCTACTCCACATCAGACTTTATGGTAGTGACATGTGAAATATAAAATATTTTTGTTAAGTCACTGACATGTATTTCACATCTGGGCCCAGTGTGTATGCGTGTGTGTGTGTATGAAACAAAATTTTAAAATAATACTACTTTAATACTTGCTGTTTTTGACATAGTTATATTTTCATTCAGGAAAATGCTCATCAGACTTACAGTGTTATTACACCCTAACTGGTCTCCACCCACAATGTGAAAAATAATGTTTTTAAGGGGCGCCTGGGTGGCTCAGTGGGTTAAAGCCTCTGCCTTCAGCTCATGATCCCAGGGTCCTGGGGACTGAACCCCACATCCTGCTCTCTGCTCAGCAGGGAGCCTGCTTCTTCCTCTCTCTGCCTGCCTCTCTGCCTTCTTGTGATCCCTGTCAAATAAATAAAATCTTTAAAAAAATAATATTTTTAAAGTTTTTCTCTAATTTTACTTTTTTAAAATTCCAGTATAATTAACATACAGTATTATATTAGTCTCAGGTGTACAAAAGAATGATTCAACAATTCCCTACATTACTCAGTGCTGATCACTGATATGTGTACTCTGAATCCTCTTCACCTTTTTAACCGATCACCACTCACCTCCTCTCTGGCAACCACCAGTTCTCTATGCTTAAGAATCTGGTTTTTTGTCTCTTTTTCTTTCTCCATTTGTTTTGTTTCTTAAATTGCATGTGAATGAAATCATATCCCATTTTCTTTCTCTGACTTATTTCGCTTAGCTGAAAAATAATGTAGTAAGCTGCTCAAAACATTGGTCGTCTAGGAACAGCTTTCAGGTGTATCCAATTATTTAGAATAGTAAGATTTACAATAAATGCAATGTCACAATAATAATAAAAATGGGAAATACAGAGTATTTCATTTTGTAAAATTAAATTATTGCATTTTGGCTGTATGTTTCTATTTGGCATCTATATGTGAATACACACACATACATACATACATACGTAATAAAGGAAAAATGTTTTTCACTGTTCTGCAAAACCGGTAGTCTCTGGCACTGAAACGTATTGCTCTAAAATTTGCATTTCAAAAATAAAATAAAATAAAATAAAATAAAGTAAAATAAAATAAAATTTGCATTCCAATCCTAAAGGACTCCATTAAGAAAGTATTCGGCTTGGTGCTGGCAAATTTTGGTAGATCCTTGAGGACAAAATAAGCTTTATTCCTCTTCTCAGTAACAGGAGAAAGAACTGAAGTCAGGAAATCTTATACTTTAACGAAGTGCCATAGCGGCGGCCTGTAAAATGAAACAACAAAATCCCAGACCGGCCTAGCTTTCCTCCCCACTCGGTGAATGGACGCAGCTCAGAGAAAATAGCTCGCGAGCTCTAGGCCGGAACCGGTATGAAACTCTCGCGAGAGCCTCCCGACCGCCGGGAGCCTTCAGTGAGCACTAGTTCCCGCCCCGTCAGTGCGCCCACAGGCTGCCTGATCCCCGCCGGCTGGCTTCCTCTGCTACGGCGGGGCGGGCCGGAACTTTTATCCATAGGAACGGGTTTACACTGTAGAGTGTTGCCGGCCGGCGTCAAGGAGAATAGAGTGCCATCCTCTTCCTCTCACCGTAGCCGCCGCGGAGCGGAGCCGAGCAGATCAGATCCAGGAGCGCGGTTACCGGGCGGGCTGGGTCTATGGTCGCTCCGCGGGCCGCTCCGCCGGCTGGTGCTTTTTTATCAGGGCAGGCTGTGTTCCATGGCAGGGAACTTTTGGCAGAGCTCCCATTAGTAAGTGATCTTCCGCCTCGTCGCCCGGGGCTTGCTCTTGGGAGTCGGTGAGGACGGGGCCTGCGACTCCCTTTGGCCTGGATCCCGGCCCCTGTCCCGAGCGCTGCGGGGTCTCCCGGGAGGCGACAGCAGCCGGAAGCGGGATGCACGTTTCTCTGGCGACTCCCCTCTCCCCGCCCCCTGGCAGTATTTCGGGGGTGGGGATGGGGGATATCTGTGAGCGGGGAAGGGCAGGGGCTAAGGAGGTTCGGTCTCTGGGGAAGGAAGGAGTTTAACTTCCAATTCTTGGATAATCTAGGCCTGGAAGCGGGGTGGGATGGGCTGCGGTGGGATGGGGGAGGGATGGGCCCAGGTATAGGAAGCGTGGCACAGTTCCGGACTGTGAGGCCGGCTCCTCGGGACAGTTGGGGTTCGCTTTTGCCTGGGCTCTCTTCCGTTGCGGGCATTGTAGTCTTTTGTCATTGACCTTCTCTCTTGAGTGGATTTAATATTATTCCGAGGAGAGAGTCCAGAGTCAGTCTTGTGTCTGCTCTCTAACCGCTTCTTGCCATTATCTTATGCCTAGGTGGAGTTGTATTACTGGTTAGGTACAGGGCAGGTGCTCTCAAATTATCCATTTCATTAGTCTGTGCCTTATATTTTAGGCATGTATTTTCCTGTGACTTCGCCAATTTCTTGAACCTATTTCATGAGTTTTTGTTTTTGTTAGTGACCATGGAAGAACTAGAGCAATATTAAAAATAAGTAAATAGATATATCCCATAAATACATTTGTTTAGGCCGAAAGGTGGGTGATACGACTAACAGAACTTTGACCAGGCTTTCCGCTGTACGGTTGAAAGATGAACAGAGCTTGATACTGTTATATTTTAGTGTAAATATGTCTGACTGCCAAGAGAGCATTAGTAACTGTAAGTTAAACTTTGATTCTGTGAAGATGATGGATTCCTATTCATTCTGCTTTTAGTCCTTTGTAAGAGAAGAAAACAATGGGGTTGGAAACCTATTTTCAGAAAAGCTGGTTTGCCCCTTGCTGTAAATGATTCTGTGGAGATGAAATTCTATAGAAGCCCTACTTCTGATCATATTTTTATTTGGCACTTTTTGCTCAGTGTAATACTTGCTTGGGCAAAATTAAAATATAGAAAATTTAGTGGAGAAGGGGTAGTATTTTGATAAACTTTGAAAGAAGGTGAAAGAATTGACGGGTAGCTAGGTGTTAGTTATCAGAAGTTACAGCCATTTTTCAACTTAAAAAAAAAAAAGATCCTACCTGCCTTTTGATAAATGGTCTCATTATGCTTCATTTATTTTTGGCATAATGAGACCATTTATCAAAGGGGGAGCAGGATCTATAATACTTGTTTTTTTTCACTTTTGAAACATAAAATTGTTATACTGTTAAATGTCCCCCCCCCCCAAAAAAAAGTGTTTAAATGTGCTTTTTTGAAAGCGTCCTTGCCTTACAATTCAAATAGTCCTGGAGAAAGGGGCCACTGAGATCTCTTGAGGATCATGAAGTGCCTGATCTGCAAAAAGTTCCAAGTGAGAAAGACAAGGCAATCAATCTGGGAAAACAAACCAACAAAAAGATTACAAAAACCATTGTTCTAGGTGATTTTGGTAAAAGAGGAAAATTGACGTGAACTATGTTGTATATCATGGCTTGAAGATGCACAGTTTAACATTTCTGAAATGGGCATGACAGTTTTTTTCTTAGTAGCACATGATATAATGGTAAATTTTACAAACAGTGTAATCTTAAATTTTATGAGATTTCCTATTTATAAGTGTTCTTGGTTTAACCTCCATACTATATGCTGTGAGGAAAAACTTGAATACTTGTGAAATTTATTGTTTTAAAAACCTTAAATGACTGTAAGGGTGGAATTAATGATAATGCCAGAACATAGTGAATCACAGTATTTTCTAGAAAGTTGAAGTAGAGCACAACACATTCTTTGACCTTACTGCAGTAAAAGTGGAAGGGCACTGAATACTAGGGGTTGACTGAACTACTGAAGAGATAACAGAAATTAAAAAGTACAAAATCAGTTCTGGGTATTTTATTGTATCAAAGAGGAAACTGAAAATACAATTACATAATATCAAGGAAATAACCTGATGAGATCAATATATATCCATACCTATGAGATGTAGCCATAGCCAGTTATAAACTAACATCCAGAATAACTGAGAGAATAAAAATAAGTCAAAATAGTCTACTTAAGAATATTAAAAAGGAAATGGTGAAATAAATCCAAGGGGGCAAAAAAGACTTAAAAAGGTAACACTGATATTAACATATTAAAAGGAAAAATAGTCAAATTATAAGCGCTGATTCTTTGGAAGGGAAAATCAATACAGTAGACTGAACTGTTGAATCAAAGTTGAATCAAAGAAAAGAAGGATGATACAAAGATAAAAAATTAGGAATGAGAAAAGTAAGTAAATCCAGACATACCTTTGGGTCATCTCCATGCTAGTAGATTTGAAAGCCAAAGCAGGGGTGCCTGAGTGGCTCAGTGGGTTAAGCCTCTGCCTTCAGCTCAGGTCATGGTCTCAGGGTCCTGGGATTGAGCCCTGCATTGGACTCTCTGCTCAGCAGGGAGCCTGCTTCCTCCTCTCTCTCTCTGCCTGCCTCTCTGCCTATTTGTGATCTCTCTCTGTCAAATAAATTAAAAATAATAATAATAATAAAATCTTAAAAAAAAAAGCCAAAGCAAATTAAGTTTCTACCCCTTAAAAAATGCTCTAGCCTACATTATGTCATGGGTAAATGTTTTCGCATTTTCAAGAGGATCTACTGAAATTACTCCAATTCACACAGAAAGAAAGCTTTCCAGTTCTCTCTTTGAAGCTACAAGAACACTGATAAAATATGGCAAAGGTAGCACTGAAAACAGTCTCAGTTTTGAATATTGATACAAAAGTAAATTATTAACAAGTAGAGTCTAACATTACATTAGAAATATAAAAAATGATAGTCATTTTATTGTAGAAATATAGTCAGTATTAGGAAATCTGTTAATGAACAGTGAAGGCATCAAAAGAAGCCTATTAATCTACTCTTGACTAAAAGAAGTATGTTGCTTTCTTAACATGGTAAGAACATCAAAACATGAATAAGAGATATTTAATGGTGAAACATTAGGAAAATTAGGGTGCCTATTTAACATTGTTCTGAATTGCTACTCAATACAATTAATAGAATAAGGTATTAAAAATGATAAAATTGTCAGCCTGTAGAGATAAAATTAACTTGAAAATTCAGCTAATTGAACAATTATTATAAACAATAAATGTTTAATAAAGTGACCAGTTACAAAACGTAAAAATGGAAAGCTTTCTTTTAAATGAATAGCAATGGAAAATAAGAAATACACAAGAATAAACTAAAGAAATGTGCAGGACCTACCAGAAGAAATTTTTAAATTCTGTAGTAGAACATAAAGATTTTAATAAGAGGAGTTTGAATTCTAGCATTGTAGAGATAACATTTCTCTATTGACCTCTAAATTTAATGCAATTGGGACTTGACATAATACTTCTAAAGTTCAAGTCTTGGAATAATTGTAAGAATATCGAGAAGTTTTTTAAAGAATAGCAAGTGGCAAAGGGGATATTTTCCATATGAGATTTTAATAATTTAATCTTACATTTTAAAATAGGATGGCATAGGAATAAGAAAAAATTGAAAGAAAAAAGCCTTAAGTATATTAGAAAATATAGGTGATTTTTTAAAAAAATAATTTTGTGTTAGGGAAGGCCTTCCCATTTGTGACCAGCATAAAATCAGAGTGAAATATGGGTTAGTTTTAGTAAGTGATTCATATATCTGTTACAAATAATTAAATGTTAAGAGATCATGCTAAACTTAGGAAATGTTTTTAGTTTATTTGACAAATGATTTATTATCCATAATATGCAGATTATAGGGGCGCCTGGGTGGCTCAGTGGGTTAAGCCTCTGCCTTCAGCTCAGGTCATGATCTCAGGGTCCTGGGATCAAGCCCTGCATCTGTCGCATCTGTCTCTCTGCTCAGCAGGGAGCCTGCTTCCCCCTCTCTCTCTGCCTGCCTCTCTGCCTACTTGTGATCTCTCTCTCTGTCAAATAAATAGATAAAAATCTTCAAAAAATAAAAATGCTTTAAAAATATGCAGATTTATGGCAAGACTCTCTAAATCGTGAAGAAGACCATTCCATTAGAAAAATTGTCATTAGAATTACAGTGTACAAAAGAACTCTATTTGGCCAATAAGGCATGGAAAATGTTTAACCTCAGAAGTAAACTAAAAAACAAACAAGACTCCCTTAGACAGTAAGATACTACTTTGCATTTAACTTGTATAGTATTTAAAAGATTGGCAGTAGTAACCCATGGGGGGTTAAATATCTTAAAACACTCTCATGTACTGTTAACAGGAATGGAAATTGGTATGACACATGGAATACAAACTGACAATGTAAAAGAGAGTTACCAGCAAAACCTACTGATCAGTTCTATTTCTGGGAAATTATTTTAAATATATTATTAACCAGATATGCAAGGGTGAATTACAAAGCTGTTCATTAAAGCATTATTTTTAATAGTGAAAAATTAAAAGCTGCATGCCTTTTAATAGGAATTAACTAAGTAAGTAACAGTCTGTCCATAATACTGTGCAGCAGTTTACAGGTATGCTGAATAACAAATTTGTTGACATAGAAAGACTTCTAGAACATACTCAGTGACAAAAGGAAGTTGCAGAATAGTGCAGAATAGTCGTTTCAATTTCATATCTCTGGTTAAAAATAGTAGACTTGACTAGGCAGGTGGAGGAGACGATTAGTGTAATAACTTCTGAAGCAGCTTTTAACATGATTGGAATTTGTGAAGTAGGGAAATTAAATACTGTAGTTACTCATGAACAATGAGAAAAGATACTTTATTATTTTTTTTTTTTTTAAGATTTTAGTTATTTATCTGACAGAGATGAGAGGCAGGCAGAGAGGGTAAGCGGGGGAAGCAGGCTCACTGCTGAGCAGAGAGCCTGATGATCAATCCCAGGACCCGGGGACCATGACCTGAGCCGAAGGCAGAGGCTTTAAACCACTGAGCCACCCAGGCGCCCAGAGAAAAGATACTTTTAATCTAAGGCACCATCATTTGATGCCAAATAATTATATATATGTGTGTGTGTATCTATATATAGCTATCTATCTAATGATTTTATGTATCACTAGGAAAAAATGTGTTGCCAGTTAAAAGCTTAAGGCATCAGTGATTGTAAGATTTTCATGATACCAGAGTATTAAAACCAATGAAATAACAATATAAGGTAGTGAGAGAACAAAAAAGAGAGACACAAAATTAGAGTGAAATTTTTTTCAGGGCGTATTTACATTCATTACTGAGATAATTCTCAAGAGTTTCAAGAAATGTGAAAAATACTATCTTCTAAGGTTACTTCTTGCACTTTGTGTTTTTCACAATGTTCATAAATTATTCAGTCTTAGAATTTTTTTTTTGTGACTTTGTTAGTTGATTTTCTGTAACATATCTTAACATCTTCATTCTTCTAGTTTACAATGGATTTTGGATAAACAAGATCTGTTAAAGGAACGCCAGAAGGACTTAAAGTTTCTCTCAGAAGAAGAGTATTGGAAATTACAGATATTTTTTACAAATGGTAAACTTAAAAAAAATTGACTGAAATGGTATAGTTGATGACCTCTGAATTAAATCTTTGTACAGTAATTTGTGATGAGCTGTTTTAGTCCCTACTTAGTATTTTTTATTCATGTATTCTTTTTATGACTTATCTTCATTTAAGTAATCTAAATAAAGTCTTGTGGATCTTACGTTGCAGAGACACTCAAGACAGTTTGAAGGTGTTCATTAATCTCCCTAAGCCTCTATAATGTGTTGTTAAACCCAATTTAAGATTGGCTAAAGCAAGTATTTTGAGGATAAATGGATTCTTTGGGCTGGTATCCTATATTGGTCATTCTTACAAATTTGCTTTGGAGGGAGAGGGACATGGTAGCTTTGTTACATGATCTTTCTAACCCTCAGTTCACTCTTCTGCAAACCTACCTCTCTGTTGTTTAGAGAATTTACTATCGACTTTTTAATAAATTTTACAAATTAGAAATTGTAGTGAGTTTGATAACTCTAATATTTTCTTTTTTACATTTATTCTAAAGATAATATAAAAACATTGAAAATACTTAAGGTAGAGGGAAATAATTATCATTCAATCTTCTTAATAGAAGAATAGTGTTTGCTGTGGGACACTTTCTATTTTTTATTGTGTATGCATACCTGTATTTTTTTAACAGATTTGCAAATCCTAGTACCAGCCCAGTGTGATCCAAATAGAGTTTTATAGCATATGTAGGTTTTTCTTTTTGTTAAAAATTAATACAGTCGTTATTTAACCACATGAACATTATTGTTCAATGTCAAAATTATAGAGATAACAGAATAAAATTTAAAATTTTATTATTTTTCTTTTAGTTATTCAGGCATTAGGTGAACATCTTAAATTAAGACAACAAGTTATTGCCACTGCTACGGTCTATTTCAAGAGATTCTATGCCAGGTAGGACTTTTATTTTGGGATTATGTCACACCTATTTGAAACTCCTACATAATGTTTATTAGCTTTAGTATAAATGAATCATGAGTTTGCCACTAGAGTTATCTTGGTTTTTGTTTTTTTTTTTTTTACAGTGTTTTCTAAATGAATGATGTTTAACTTTGTTTTATCATATTTTAGGTATTCTCTGAAAAGTATAGATCCTGTATTAATGGCTCCTACATGTGTGTTTTTGGCATCCAAAGTAGAGGTATGAAATAGTTTTCTGTTCTTCATTGAAATATAGTCAATGTACATTGGTTAATCTGTCCTGATTTTCACATTACCTGTATAAAAATAACGACAGATGGTGATTTATGCAAAATACTGAAATTCATGCAAAATCAAAGATATACATGTCTTTATATATTCATTTAACGCTTACGTAGCATTTACTATATACCAAGTGCTATTCTAAATCCTTTTACAACTATAATTGACTCATAATGTGATTTATAATCCTCATAAGAAACAATGGGGTGTATGGTAGTAATATCTTCCATTTCATAAAGGAGGAAACTTAGGTTTATAGAGGTTGAGAAACTTGCCTAAGATCATAAAGCTGGTAAGTGGCAGAGCCTGGGAACCTGGCTACTAATTCCGTGCTTTTAACTGCGTTGTTCTAGGTCCTCTAAGACATTAACTGTTTGGCACTGTAGTATTCCATAAGTGCCACAGCTTCTCTACTATAACCTGAATTATAGTACCTCTTCCTATGTTTGTATTATGTTTCTTAGATGTCTTTAGAATCATAACTGTATTCTTGAAAATTAAATGTAATTTATTTTATTTTTTTTTCTAAAGATTTTACTTATTTATTTGACAGGCAGAGATCACAAGTAGGCAGAGAGGCAGGCAGGGGGAGAGGGGAAAGCAGGCTCCCTGCTGAGCAGAGAGCCTGACATGGGGCCCGATTCCAGAACCCTGGGGTCATGACCCGAGCCGAAGGCAGAGTCTTTAACCCACTGAGCCACCTAAGCACCCCTAAATGTAATTTAAATGTAGTAGGTTTATGTTCCTTTTGGTGCTCAATTTTGAATTAGTTTTTAGTCATTATTTAGGATTATTGAAGACATGTTTCCTAATTATTACCTAAAGTAATGAGAGTTGACTCTATTAGAAATAATATTAAGACAGACTTTCTAGAACTTATGGTTTTCTAATTATAAGTGGTGGCTTAAACAGAACCTGCTCTGTTGTTATTACTGAGTTCTTAATAGTGGGAAAAGGAAGTGTTTATAAAAAGCCCATGGTATGGGTTGGTATTTCCAAATGTTACCATGTAATTTGATGTATCTGAAGTGCAACCAATATGGAAAATCTAGACAAAATTTTATAAATTTCTATTCTTGAAGATTAACTTGGGGAGTTTAATTTGTTTTGTTTGTTAAATACCTTTTGTTGTATCATTTACTGAGTGAAAGTTTTCATTCTAAGAATTTTGGATAAAGAATAATTCCTGGATTGGGGTGCCTGGCTGGCTCAGTTGTTAAAGCATATGACTCTTGATCTCGGGTTCATGAGTTCAAGCCCCGCATTGGGTATAGGGAATACTTAAAAAAAAAAAAAATTATTCCTGGAAAAAAGATGTATCCCTTCATATTTGATGATAGCATTATGTTTTTAATCTCTAACTGTGACCAAATGTTTCTGTGTTTTGTCTAGTTGTGTGGGTATTATATAGAAAGGACTTTTAAGACATCTGAGGCATTTACTTTTTAGTATCAGTTACTATGGTTTAAGGTTTGAATATAAGTATATATGCACACATACATAACTACCCCACCCCACAAAATAAGGATGTAGGTTGAAGGTATTTATATAGACTAGGTTCAGTTTAGTTCCTTTTGTTGAATAAGCAACCAATTTTTGATTTTTCTGTTTTAAAATGAAGTGAAGGTTTTAGTAATCTTATGAGGTTAATCAAATCAAATGAGACAGTATATGTAAGGTGGATCACTTCCTAAATTTTAGTTATTTTTACAATGGTGGCGTACTAAGTTCAAAGAGGAAGTGGGAATTGACATTAAGAGTCTTGGGGCACCTGGGTGGCTCAGTTGGTTAAGCATCCGACTGTTGATTTCAGCTCAGGTCGTGATCCCCAAGTCTTGGGATGGAACCCCACATTAGGCTTCCTGCTTGTCACACAGTCTGCTGAAGATTCTGTCCCTTTTTGCTCCACCTCCCACCCCCAACCCACTTGTGCTCTCATTCTCTCTCAAAAAAAAAAAAAGAGCTTGCTTTATGGTAAGGCTGAAATTACTTTAAAAAAAAAAAAGAAGTCTTATGGGGAATCTGGGTGGCTCAGTCAGTTAAGTGTCTGACTCTTGATCTCAGCTCAGGTCTTGCTCTCACAGTCATGAGTTCAAGCCCCATATTGGTCTCCTCACTGGCATGCATGGAGCCTACTTTAAAAAAGAAAAAAAAGGAAAGTCTTACATTGTATCATTCTATTATTCTTGTCTTCTTCCAAATAGAATAATAGTTTTAGTGGTCTTTTAAATTATTTTGGTGATACTAAAGTTTATCTTTAGAGATTTAGCTGTTCTGTTACTAAATAGCATAAGTACCTGTTCATTAATTCAGGGTCAGTTGAATAGGAAGCGTACTTAGTATTTTTCTTGCAGTTAAGTGTAGAATCTAAGAAATCTTTTTGGAAACTAATTGGAGTGGAGAAAACTGGCACTGTTGCTTTAGGGCTTGGTTTCTAATTTGGTATCTCAGTGATGTTAAATGACAAAATTATTTAAACATTTGTCTTACTGCAGCAATTTTAAAGAAAAGTAATACATTTTAGAGACTTAAGTACTTCGTGCCTCAAGTAGGTAGAAGATGAAAAACAAACTATAAACATGGGGGATATATAGGAAATGCTTTGCTTTGAATAAACCCAGATACCCTCAGGCTCATTGGGTTACTGTGTACCTGATCTCATCCACTTTTATTTCTCTAGGAATTTGGAGTAGTCTCAAATACAAGATTGATTTCTGCTGCTACTTCTGTATGTAAGTGCAAAAAGTATATTCTGCTTTAAGGATGTAATTCTTTAGAAAAGCTCCATAGGACCTTAATGTTTTTCAGTTTATGAGAACTATGAAAGATTTGGTTGTCTTGGGGCACCTGGGTGGCTCAGTGGGTTAAGCCTCTGCCTTCGGCTCAGGTCATGATCCCAGGGTTCCGGGATCGAGCTCCGCATCGGGCTTTCTGCTCAGCGGGGAGCCTGCTTTCCCATCTCTCTCTCTGCCTGCCTTTCTGCCTACTTGTGATCGGTCAAATAAATAAATAAAATCGTTAAAAAAAATGTAAAATGATTTAAAAAAAAAAAAGAAGATTTGGTTGCCTTTATTAAATTTCCTGGGGTCACATTTATGACTATTGTATTTGGCTAAAAATAAAGTTAAAAATACAAAAATTTTAAAAACCACTTGTAGGGTTATGTCCAGGACATTGCTTTTTAATTCTAAAAGTGGATAGTAACTATTGTCCAAAAACATCAGTTCAGTGGCTCTTAATTTTAAATAATAAGGGTAAAGAAAAAAACTCATTTCCCAGTTCTGTTGTATTTTTTTTTGCCTCATAATGACTAGCCATTGTGTCATTCTTGTGGGTAAAATAAACTGTTTCTTTAGTAATTGTAGTGTATGTATTTGATGGGAATTAAGTATGTTGCCTCCATAATTGAAAAACAGAGTGCAGGGAAAAAAAAATGCTGACTGTAGTAGTCAGCCCCAATTCTGTCTAAGCAGCAGCTGTATAACCTTGAGCAAATTGCTTTACCTCTTGGCTTTAGTTCTGTTTACAAAAAGATAGGGTTTAGCTGCCTTGGAGTCATGGCATTAAAGGAAATAATACCGTAGACTAGTGATTGTAAAATATTGTATACAAGGTATTAACATGATGCTATGCTGCATCTTCATAGGTTAAGCACAAAGGCAGCACCTAACAAAAGATGAAAGATAATGCAGATTTTTTTTTTTAATGTGATCTTGCACAGAAGAGGCAGAAGGTTTTTTTGTGTGTTTTTAGGTTTGTGAACCACACTGATTTTCATATTTTTGGGTCTTTCCCTTTTCTGAGAAGAGTGTAATTATCTAATTCAGTTTTTTCCATGCCATATTTTACTCTTCTGAGGATAGCAGAGTAGTAATCAGTTTTGCCATAGAATTTGATATAGCAGATATATCTCATTGATAAGTATTGAATTGCCCTCTGGAAAATTGAATTATTAAACATTCAGAAACAACTGGAAGGTAATCCACCAGAATGTTAGCAGTGCTCATCTGCGAGTAGTGGATTCTAGGTGCCTTATTTTATTCCTATGTCATTTTTTGTTTTCCAAATTTTTTAGAAGGTGTGTATTTTTAAAAATGTAAAATACAGGGGCACCTGGGTGGTTCAGTTGGTTAAGCATCCACCTCTTGATTTTAGTTCAGGTCATGATCTCAGGGTCCTGAGATCAAGGCACACACTGGGCTCTGTGCTGAGTGTGTTAGCCTGCTTGAGATTCTCTTTTTCTCTCCTCCTGTCCCTCCCCCTGCTCACACATGTGTGTGCTCTCTCTCTTAAAAAAAAAAATAAATAAATAAAATACCTATTACTAAGGTTTATTTTTCATGCAAAGATGTAAAGGTATATACATAACAGTGTTTGGTTCCCAAATGAATAGGAAATTGTTACAGTCGAATATTTTTGTTGAATTTCATAAATGTTACGGTGTATTATATAGGCCCACACAGCTTAGGTTTCAAATTTCAGCTCTCTTGCTTTCTTCGTGACAAATTGAACAAAATACAGTATCTGTGTCTCAGTTTCCTCACCTGCAAAGTGAGGATTAGTAACATTTACGTCAAATGGTTGTTGTGAGGATCAGATGAGTTAGTATCAGTAAAGCTCTTAGAACAGTGTCTTGCTCAGTGTCTTAGTTTGGTAGGTCTGCCTGCCATACAAAGTGATAGAGACTAAGTGGTTTAAACAACAAAATTATTTTCTCACAATCTGAAAGCTGAAGTCCAAGATCAAGGTCCACAAATTTAGTTTCTCCTGAGGCCTCTCTTCCTGGTTTTCACGTGGCCACCTTTTTGCTATGTCCTCACATGGCCCTTTCTTTGTGGTTGTGCACCCTTAGTGTTTCCTCCTCTCTTAAGGACACCAGTCCTATAGAATTTGTGCCTCACCCTTACGACCACATTTAACCATAAGTACCTCTTAATTACCTATCTCCAAATCAATCACATTGGGGGTTAGGTCTTCAACACTGAAATTTGGCAGGGCCAGGGGCAGAGAGCACAGTTCCGTCCATAATACTCAGTAAACTTAAGTGCCTACTCATTATCATCAATAACAGGATTATCCTTACTAGAAACACCGTACCAAATGCAGTGATGGTTACAAAGATAAATACAAGGAATTTAAGGACAAGAACATAAGACATGCATATATAAATACTAATATAAAAGAAAAAATAAGTGGCATAAGAGAATTAGAGAATGCAGCGAATGTTTTGAGTGATAAAAGGTTATTTGTTAGATGAATCCAGAAAGGCTTAACTGGGATTTGGTAAAGAAAGACTTTGAACCTGGGGAAATATAGGGGAAAGATAGACTAGGAACATTGAACAGTTTGGTCAAAAGTAAAGAAAACTAATGAGTTCCATTCAGTGAATAGTCAGTAAGGAAAGAGGCAGGAATAGTCCTACCTGGCTAAGGCCAGGTAAAAGAGGGCCTTCAATGAAGAATCTGCCATTTGTTCTGTTGATGGTGGTAGTATGTTTGAAGGCTTTTTTCTCAACATAAGGATAATGCCAGAATGGTGCATTAGGAAGGTAAATCTGGCAGAATAATGTAAGATGAATTAGAAAAGAATGTGAGCTGAGGTAGACAGATTTTAAAGTTTTTCACATTCTACAACATGGATGAACCTTGAGGCACCTGGTTGGCTCAGTAGGATAGCATATGACTCTCAATCTCAAGGTTGTAAGTTTGATCCCCACATTAGATGTAGAGATTACTTAGAAATGAAATCTTAAAAAAAAAAAAAAAAAAAAAACCATGGATAAACCTTGAGTACATTAGGGTAAGTGAAATAGGCCAGTCAAAAAAGATAAATACTGTGTGATTCCATTTAATACTATAAATAATCAATAGAGATAGAAAGTAGAATAGAGGCTGTTAGGGACTGGAGGGAGGGGAACATGGGGAATTGTTGAATGAGTATAGAGTTTCAGTTTTGCAAGATTAAAGTTCAGGAGATGGATTGTGGTGATGGTTGCACAATTGTCAATGTACTTATTACTACTAAACTGCATACTTAAAAATGGCTAAAGATGATAAAGTTTATGTAATGTGTATTTTACCACAATTTTAAAAGCACCCAAAAAAAATCCCTCTGTAATACATATAAAACTGCAAATTGTAGTCAGTAACCTCACCACAGGGTGCTATGAGAAATAAAAACTAACAAGTTTAAAATAGGAAAATATTATTTTGAAGATAATGAAGTGGCCCAGGTGAGTACTAATGAAGGGTTAAAATGATGTTTGGGCCCCCAGCAAGGAGAACAACAAGCAAGCTAGATTTGCATAATAGAGTCAGTAGAACTTTTACAAAGCAAGGTTTTAAGACAAGTCAGAAATGGTTTTTGAGGTGTTTTGCCTGGGCATTGGGAAGGTGAAGGTGGTACCAGAAGAGGAGAATAAGTTGGTTCTGAAAAGAGTTAAATTTAATCTTGGACACTCAGTGTGTAAATGTATCAGTAGAACATCTTAGAAATGTGAGGCCAATGATAGAAATTTGGAACTTGGTAAAATTTAAGAGATAAAGGTGCATAGTGTCTTGTGCTGCTTAGAAGATGAGTGCCAACTTGGGGGGGGGGGTGGGAAGAGACAGACTTTTGGGTTTGTGATCTTTGAGAATGTTGCCATCAGTAAACATGGGATAGGTTTGAAGCCAGATTGCAAAGAACTGAGAAGTGAGTAGGTGCAGAGAAAAGGAGACTCTAACTGTATTACAAATATATAAAATAGCCTTAGTGAAGGGGGTGAGGGGAGGTGCTGACCTAAGTAACTTTGGGAAGAAGTACAGTCTGTAAGACCAAAGGCAAAAGGAACTGCATACGAGCACTATATTCTAGTTGATAGATTTGATACTTAATGTGGACACAAGTTAATTCTGATACTGCTGTACTTGTATCTGGAATTGAGCAATTCCAGTAAATATATACATCCATGGTAAATGGATGGCAGATGTTGGGAACTAGGTTTCTCACTGCTGGAATGGGAATACACAAATAAGGAGAGGAGAACAGAAAGATCCATGTACTGATCAGTTAGAGTTAGAGGCATCAGTATGAGCTCATGGTTACCTTAACATCTCAGTAGCAATGAGTTCTCCTTGTGCTCAGATCTTTGTGTCTAATGCCGTTCTCCAATAAAAGAACTAGGTCTCCTTGGAGACTGGGACAGGAAATACGCAAGATAGACCTGGTGCATAGTGCCAATAAGTAAGGAAGTGCTTTAAAAAAAAAAAAAAAAAAAAAAGGCCCCAAAACAAGAACACCTAGCTTAATAGGATTACAAAGGGGACATAAAACCCAACTGAAAGCTCTCAGTGGCCAAGGCTAGAAGAATTTGTACAACAACAATAACAAAACGTAGTATTGGATTATAATCCAAAGTATAAAAAAAAAATCCATGAGTCCATACTGAACAAATAAATTATTGAGTAAATGGGGGAAGAAGAGACAAATTTCTAATACAGAAGAATTTCATATACTTTACATAGCTAACTACATCATCAGGGAAGCATAAATTTCTACTTCTTAAGTATTCATTGTGCATAGTGACTTCCTTCTAATGTGTATATTATGAAAAGGGATGGGGGAAATAATTTTACAGTAGACTAACCCAACAAACACTACCTCAGCCAGGTGGTTGAGGTTATTTTCAACTGTGATAAATCACTAGTAGTGTGTACCTTTCATGCGATATGATGAAATGGTGCTTTACTTCTGTCATCCTTCCTTCCAAGATCCCACAACCCCAGTCTAAATATTAAGTAAACATCAGACAAATTCCAGTGGAGCGTCAAGCAACAAAACAATACTTGGGGGGAATACAGTACTCTTAAAACTGCCAAAGTCATCAAACATGGAAAGTCTGGAAAACTGTCACAGCCAAATGGAATCTAAAGCAGACCTGACAAGTAAATGTAAAGTGGTCTTCTGGTTGAGAGCCTGGAACAGAGAAAGGACATTAGGAAAAACTAAGGAGATCTGAATAAACTATGGACTTTAGTTAATAATGTACCATACTAATATCAGAGGTTAATAATAAGGGGAAACTGGGTGGTGGGGGGTTGTTTTAGTCTATTCCAGCTGCTCTAACAAAATACCATAGACTGGGTGGCTTAAGCAATACATGTTTATTTCCCACAGTTCTGGAAACTGGGAAGTCTAAGATCAAACAAAGTGTCTTCCTTGATCAGCTCCATGACTGGCCGTTTCCTGGCAAGCAGACGGTGGCTTTCTCATTGTGCTCTCACATGGCAGAGAGAGGTTGCTCGTCCTCTTACAAGAACACTAATCCTGTCATGGGGACCCCACCCCCATGACCACCTAAACCTGATTAATTCCCTGAATTTGGAGGTGGCTCTAAATACCATCACACAGGGGTTGTGATTTCAACATACGAATTTGGGGGGATATATTCAGCCCATAACAGGGAGTATATGGGAACTCTCTCTCTTTTCAGTTCTATAAATTTAAAAATGTTCTTAAAAATTAAGAAAAAAATGTTCTTAAAAATGTTCTTAAAAAAGAATAAATTCTTTTGCTTTTAAAAAGCAAAAGAATATAATTTGGTAGAGGTTTTATATGTTTTTGATTTTGAGAGAAATTTGAGCATTTTAGTAAGTGATGGGACAGATTATTGGAGGAGGAATGGTTAAGGGTGCAAAAAAAATATGAACTGTCAGTTGAGCAGATGAAAAACAAATACACAAGTGATAGAGGTAGCAGTAGAGAGGAGGGGTATACTTTCCTCCCAGCTTAGAAAAGGATTAGAAGATAGAAAATTAATAGGCAGAGCAATTTTATCATGGAGTAGGAGAGAGGTTAACAGTATCAGGTCAATGTCAGAAAGTTAGGTGTCATAGTTTCAGCGTTAGGGATGCATATTTGTTTTATGTACAGAGATGTACCTTGTTAATTAGTTACCGTTATGTAAGTACTGTATGTAAGTTATGTAAGTACACTTTACATCTTGTTTGTATCACCAGGATTTGTAAAACTCAGAAGCCTTAATATTAGGTATGTCTTCAAATAAAGGAGAAAGAAAAGGAAAGCTTAAGTATAAATTTCCTACTGTCAACTTTAAATGGTTTAGATTTCAATCTTGGCAGATGTTACCTATCTAAATTAGTTGTTAGGTTCCTCAGTTTACAAAATAAAACTTTTTGAAAATAAAATACATAGAATAAATGAAAAAAAAATTTAAATCTCTGTGAGGTCTTAGGCTTTATACAAATGGAAGGGATCACAGAACAGATCCTCTAGGATGTGACTTGATTTAGTGAAATGTTGCATCATAATAACCTGAATACAATTTTTTCCAATAGTAGTACTTAAAAGTGTACACTCACCATTTTGAAGAGATAGAGGATTGATAGTTAACAGCTTTTTCTTTTGTACTTAGTGACAAAGAAGAGTAGTAACTGTGTGTATGCGTTTGTGTGTGGTGTGAAAAAGTCCTAGAGAACTTTGCACATATATTTATGCTTTTATTAAAGTATATCTTTTGACAAAGAAATACCTATTTATTCTAGAAAGTATAGATTAGTAAAAAATCCTTAAATCTTAGATGACCACTATTAACATTCTTTGGTTGTATTATCCTTTCAATTATTATATATATTTGGAAATATATATATTATATATATATTTTTTGAATACATAAATAACTTGTGTTCCTTCTACGCTAAATTACTGAGAAATAAAACCAATACCATTCTAAAGTTGGAAAGATTTTAGAGATGAAACCTGCCCCTTTATTTTTTAAGCCGCAGAACCCCTTTTTAATACAATAAGTATATAATTAAAGCTCTCTGATTGTAATATAGATGGGGGCCTAGGACTTCCTGCCACTTAGTACTTTCCCCTTGACTGACAATAAACAAATCTGGGTTCCTAAGCATCTCTAAGAGCACTTACTAACAATGATTTAGCTCTTATACACTGTGTTAAAGAAATTTTGGTTTAATTTACTTTTTCTTAGTTTAAGTCATTTTTTGTTTTTTGCAGTAAAAACTAGATTTTCATATGCCTTTCCAAAGGAATTTCCTTATAGGATGAACCATGTAAGTATATTGTATAAAATAAAACTACTTGTCAAAGCTGTATATAAGCTAGATCCATTTTATGTTAGAATAAACTGTATAAATAGTTTCCTATAAATAAACAGTTTCCTATAAATGGCAGTTTCAAATACTATAAGAATATAAACTTTAATTCTAAATTAAAGCTAAATTGCTCCTACCTTTAAAAGAAAACTACTTAATAGCATTGGTTATCAACCCTGGGTGCTGCCCATTAAATCACTTCGGGAACTTTTTAATAATGCTAATACCAGGGCCTCTCCAGACCAACGAAAACAGAATTTTTAGGCTTGAAGCCTGGGGATTGGTATTTTCTAAAAGCTCCCAGGTGATACTAGTGTGTAGCTAGGGTTGAGAACTATTAGAATGGAACAGTGTGAAAACCATATTTGAAACTTTAATTTAGAAGGTGAGTTTCTGTTAACATTTTTAATAGGCATGTCCTTTTTCTACTTTTGAGGGATTTCATCATCCTGTATAAATTGTATATTTTTGTTTCATTTTCAGTATTCTTTCCTTTTATTAATTCTTAATATAATAAGAGTAACACATAAGTGGAGATAGTTGCATTTTTGCATTTGTTGAGTGTAAAGTGTATTAGAAAATCTGAAGTTTACACAGCAGCTTTTAAATTAAAAAAGTAAGAATGCTTATATGAGGCTGACTTTTCTATAATGATTAAAATCCTTTATAGTCATAATTGCATGCACTGTATAGTAGTAAAAAAGTAATTTTTATTGCACATGTTCATTTTGATATAAATTTCTGTGTATATTTTCTTGATTTAAAAAATTAGTAAAAATTTATGGTATTTTAATGTATAAATTGTTAGGTTAGACTAAGTAGACTCATCTAATTTGTTTCACAATGACATTTATAATTTTTTTTAAACAGATATTAGAATGTGAATTCTATCTTTTAGAACTAATGGTAAGTATATTACTTCCTTGTGATTAATAGAATAAAACTTATTTTCAAATTTAGTGAAGTCAGAAATTCTTTTAAGAAATGATTTATAGGGAGGTGCATTTTTAAACCATCCAAATGATACATGATGGTGAAATCACAGTACCTAGTAGCATCATCACCTATATCCTCTGAGAAGCCTGTAAAATAATTTGTATATCCCACTTAGGATGGGAAAATTTTTCTGTTCTATGGTAACTGTAATAAAAGGATACAAGCAAACCAGTCAGAACATGAAGCCACTGTAAATTATTTGCACAATTTGTGTATGTGTGTGGTGTTATTTAAAGATAGATTATGTCTTTGGCAGAATTCTGCTCCTCCAGTTGGGAATTACGGATTTATAGGCTAATAAGAGGTTTCAGTGTGTTGCAGATGTGACACTTTGAGTCTCTAAGGGAATGGATGCTGACTGACTGCCAACCGATTTACCAAGGTATATTCCAGAGAGAGCGCTGCCTTCACTATTATAGTAGAGTTTAGGGCTGCCATACTGCTTGCTTAAGAGAATAAGAGGGAAGCAAGCATGAGTTAGAGAAATACATTTTGAAATACACAATTACAAATCAGTTGGGTAATGATAAGTTTTTGTGTCGTAATAAATCTGTTTTTATACATACACATTTTTTAAACTGTTTCTAGGATTGTTGCTTGATAGTGTATCATCCTTATAGACCTTTGCTCCAGTATGTGCAGGACATGGGCCAAGAAGACATGTTGCTTCCCCTTGCATGGTAATTAGAACAGAAGTTATTCATAGTGTAACATGTTATTAGCTAGGAAGGTTGACAAATGAATATGAAGTTTAGTATTTTTAATAAACTAGTGCCCCAAGATACTGTATGTTGAGTGAAATACCTGTTTGCTGAATTTTAATTAACTATATTTATAAATGCTAAATTGATAAGGATCCTTAATTCGATCAATATTTCCATTAAAATTTGATTCTTATCAAAAAACCAGACTATTTACATAAAAATTAAGACAGATTATCTTTCAAATACAGTATTTTTTGTTGTTATTTAACAACAAAATTACATATTAATTCACTGTATAATTTATAAACAAAATTATATATTAATTCATTGTATAATTTCTGGTTTCCTCTGATTTTCTAGTTTTTGAAAAATTGGGAAATCCTTATTGTAATTTATTGTAAGGTTTTAAGTTTTAAAATCTATTTAGCTGTAATTTTATCCATTAAAATATGCTTATTCATTGTCACGTTCATGTATCCATCTTTTTCCCTTGATTGGTTTCACCTGTGTATCTATGCTTTAGTAATAATATAATGTACAAAGATGGGAAATCTGACCCTCTCTGGGGGGAAATGTACAATCACACAAGGTAGTTCTGATTTCAGTAATAATATGATTTACATTTATTTCTGTAGGAGGATAGTGAATGATACCTACAGAACGGATCTTTGCCTACTGTATCCTCCTTTCATGATAGCTTTAGGTATGTAAGCATGGTATGCCTTTACTAGTAGAATTGTTACAAGCTTATTTAGGTCATCCCAAAAGAAATTTCACCCTGTTATGCTTTGCATTCTTATGGTTCATGAAGTAATAGACTAATCCTTGCATGTGAACTTGTAATATTATGAAATGCAACTTTCAGAAGTGAGAGTTATTGTCCTTCTTACCCCCCCTTCTTTTGGTAAGCGTTTGTTTTTTGTTTTTTTTCTAAGTCATTTAAGATAATTTTGACCAGTGTTTGAACAGAACGTTTTTGTTTAGGAGGAAAAGTTCAGAATTAAGCCTGCTCATATTACTTGTAAATTATATAGAATAACTGGGCCTGTCTTTTATTCCCTGAGCTCAGTTAAGTCCTCAGAGGTTCAGTAAAGGAAACTCTTGTCGTTGTTGCCTTGCTGGAGGGAGAAGTTAGCTACCATTTTATTTATTTGTGAAAGGTAGTGTAATGGGTTAGAACACTGTCTTTGGAGTCAGATAGTCCTTGGTTTAAACTTAGCTTTCTTTACACTTGTGGGAAAAGCATTTAACCTTTCTGAGTTTGTTGCCTTAATTGTAAAATGTTGGGGATACTAACTCCATACAGAATTGTTGCAAATATTAAATGAGATATGTTAGAGAACATCAGTAATTGGGGCACCTGGGTGGCTCAGTGGGTTAAGCCTCTGCCTTTGGCTCAGGTCATGGTCTCAGGGTTCTGGAATCGAGCCCTGAATCAGGCTCTCTGCTCAGCAGGGAGCCAGCTTCCCCCTCTGTCTCTGCATGCCTCTCTGCCTATTTGTGGTCTCTCTTTCTCTCTCAAATAAATAAATAAAATCTTTTTTAAAAAATTTAAAAAATAGATTAAAAAAATAAAAGAACATCAGTAATGCCTGCCATATATTAAGCACGTAATAGTTTCTTTTCCCTTTCTTTTTCCTATCAATTTCCATGATTCTGTCCTCTTGATTTTCGCCCATTCTTTTACCGCCCAATTTCTGGATAAAATACACAACTTCTTTTAACCTGTACAGTACCATTCTCTGCTGCCATTCTCACCTTTTTTAAAGACTTGTCTCAGATAACACCTCTTTAGTGACCCTCCCATCCCCAAACTTCCTACATTACCTCACTCCGGGTTTAGGATATTTTCTCTATGTTTGTCCTGTAAATGGCATTTTCCACTGTATTTTAATTACCTGTACTGTAATTTCAGTTCTTTGACCTCTTAATCCCTTCAGGGCCTACACCGTACTTTACAGCTTCATTTGGCTTGGGTCAACCAGTATGTCAGTTCACATTTGAGTCACTATTTGCCTAGAATGTCATCCTTCGCAAAATCATGCGGGTAACTAAACCAGGGAATATAACTCTTAAGAAGCTGTTGTGGGCTTAAGGTAGCCAAGCTGCTGGTAGGAATTATATTGGGCAAAATTAGGATGTAGATTGTTGTTTCTGGGTTCTTTTACTGTTTTTGTTAGTTTATGTTGTGTGTAATATATATATACTTGACCCTAGAACAACATGGATTTGAATTGTGCAGGTCTACCTATTTTACACAGGTTTTCCTTATGCTTGTCTTAATAACATTTTTTCTTTAGCTTTACTTTATTATAAATATACAGTATATAATATATACACAAAATATGTGTTAATCAACTGTTTATCAGTTTTCAGTCAAGAGTAGGTTATTAGTAGTTAAGTTTTGGGGGAGTCAAAAGTTACCTGCAGATTTTTTTAACTGCAGAGGGGGCTGGTGCCCCTACATGTTGTTTAGAGGTCAACTGTAATTATATTGTATATAGTGCATTATACTTTTTTCTAAGCTCCTTTTAATTATAACACTGAAATTCAGTACTGGGGTGCCCAGTGTTCACCGGACTTGGTCATGCACTAATAACTGAAAACAGAAGCAACACACTGCTTTTAATTGAAATATCAAAAAATAATCAGTTGTTGAAATGTATCAGCGTATTATTGGCCTGTGTGTGCATGAGTGTATGTGTGTGTGTGAAACTGACTTCTGGGTGTATTTTGACCACTCCTTTAAGCCACTGTTCAGGGATTGCTTCCCTTCTCTAATTTCTCATTGGATTTTTTTCTTAACATGCCCTGACTGTCAGAGCAACTGTACCATCCTTATCATACAGTGAAGAGCAGGAAATGTCAAGAACTTTAATATAGTCTAGTAATTTTTCTGTTTGTATTACATTAAGTTGATGGGATGGTCATTGGTAACTATTAGATGACTCTATGTAATCTTTAAAAAAGAATGTTGGAAAATGCATAAGCAAATTTGAAATGAAGACCTTATCTTTAGTTTTGAGTCCATACATTCCACATTTGTGGTTAAACGTGGGCCTTTTTCTTTCATTTTCTTTCCAGCTTGTCTACATGTAGCCTGTGTTGTACAGCAGAAAGATGCCAGACAGTGGTTTGCTGAGCTTTCTGTGGATATGGAGAAGGTATTCTTTAAAATTCCCTTAGTTGAGGGGCACCAGGGTGGCTCAGTTGGTTAAGTGTCTGACTCTTGATTTCGGCTCAGGTCATGATCTCAGGGTTGTGAGATCAAGCCACATGTTGGGCTCTGCACTGGGTGTGGAGTCTACTTAAGATTCTCTCTCTCCTGCTCCCCTTTATCCTGCTTGCACTCTCTTTCTCTCAAACAAAAATTTAAAATTTTAAAAAATACATTAAAAAATAAAATAAAAATAAAACACCCTTAGTTAAATATAAACTTGGACATTTTAAAGTTATTATGATATTTACTTAACATGAATCTAAAGTCTTATGATGTCTACAGGCTAAGAAAATTTTTGGTAAAAAATATTAAGAAACATATTTGGCAAGAACAGTTGATGTTGACTGTTTAGGTTATGTTTCTCTTTTGGGTTTAGGCTTAAACAGAATGATAAGCTTTTGGTTTGCTGAGGTGCAAAACTGCCTCTGATTTCCAGGATTATTTAAAAAAAAAACTACCTAGAGACCACTAAATACTACTGTAAACTTTTCTAACAGCCTGTCTCTGACAAACTGGGGTTTGCCCTTTTTTCTACGTTTTCTGTGTAAAATGTTAATAGCATTAGAATCAGTCCAGTGTGAGGTCGACTCGAGAAAGAGGGCTGATTTGGAAACTGGATATGACAGATGTATAGCCGCCAGCTTTGAAGCACCTTAACTCGAGTGTAGAGTAGTTAACAGAGAAACCAAACAATGTCTTTCCTGCACCAGCTCCCATTAATTTGTTTGAAACAACTGGTTTTAGAGGACTGTGCTCTGTAGTGGCATACTCCTTCATGATTTAGACCTTGTTCCCAGGATATCACTGATTTGTTTTGGTTTAGGATAGTAGCAAATAGAAGGAAACCAACTGCGGAAATTGATAAGGATGAACAAAGTATACATGTTAAAAGACGAGAGGGTAGAAGGAGAAGCTTACAGAGCAGAGCAGTAAAAATACTGCTTTCAAGTTTATCAAGATTGTCTAATAGAACCTGAATAAGGATAGAAACTATCTTTTCACTGTTTTCTGAGGATGTGTATGATGTGTGTTCTTTATATACTAAATGTTGCTTGATATTGCCACTGAGAACTTTTCAAATATTTACTTCTAGATTTTGGAAATAATCAGGGTTATTTTAAAACTATATGAGCAGTGGAAGAATTTTGATGAGAGAAAAGAGATGGCGACTATTCTTAGTAAGATGCCGAAACCAAAACCTCCTCCAAACAGGTACTTTGTAGACTTTAATTACTGATTTCATTTATATATTTCATATATATTTTTTCATAGATTATATTTATTCTTTTAATGAAATTGCTTCCAAAACTTCATGATTTATGTAACTTTTTAAAAAAATCTGATTTGGTAGATTGACAATGCCTCATTTTAAAAAATAAACATTAATCTGATTATCTGTTAACTTTCCCTGATGCAATGGCGGGTCTCTTACAGGTATCCCTCAACATATGGCTATATACAGTGCATAAATTTAAACAGAACAGAATTTAGGGTAGTTCATTTGAAATTCAGGGATAAAGAATTCTGTAGTATCCTATGTCATTTTGACTTTCTGACCTACCCCCCTGCCCCCCCACACACAGTGCTGGCTTTTATCCTGTTTTATAAATTTCAGTAGCAGTTTTCAAAAACTTAGGTGATTGATCTCCTATTGTAAAGATAAATAATTTTTGCTTTTGAGCTACCTGAAGATCCACGGCACATAGTAACATGATTTTGGTAACTGAATCACTTGTGCTAAGAGGGTTTTCTTTGTTTTGTTTTTTTTTACAGGATCTTTTTATTTAGTTCAGTGGTTCTCAGCTCTTGCTGTATATCAGATCATTTAGAGTAGGAAAAAAGGTCAGAAGGGAAATGAGGAAATGCTACCCATCTTAATGATCAAGAAAAGTAATTATATAATATTAAGATAGATTTATAGGTTTGATAAGTTAATGTTACCATTTAGAAAAAATTGATACTTATACAAGGAGCTGTTTAAGGCAGTCATTCAAACAGCTACCTTTGGATACATTTTTTGCAGAAATTCCCTGAGTGATTCTCCACTAGTGGCAGGGCCTGAAGCTGCAAGATGATGATGGACAAGATAAGGCAATAATCCTGTTGCCACACTGGTATTTTCAGTTTTAGTTATTTTTATTTTAAGTATTCAGCATTTTCCAAGAAATTGCCATTTTTCTTTCTGACTTATATAAGTTTGCTGTATTTACATGTGATTCTGTTATGCATTTGGACAATAATTTTTTGGGAAGAACACTTCTTGATTTTCATATTTAGTAGGAATGAGATTTTATATGTAAGATTTAATTGTACAGGAAATTTGTTCAGAAGAAGCTCTAATCTCTATGTTGAGTGATACCTGTAATGACAGTAACATCCCATACCCTTATTTAAATTTTTTGAGTGTATATGGACACTAACTTCCAGAAAGCTTGTTTTGTGTGAGGGCACCAAGTTAACATAAGAATAAAAATATAAAACCGAACGTTAGTCTTCTGTATTTTAATTTTCCATCTCTTGTCTTAATGATCGGGAATGCCTTTGTTTTGTGGAGTTGTACCATAGAGTAACTAACTTTAAAAATTAGTTGGCTTATTGGGGTGTTGAAAATGAGTCTTTTAATTGGTATAAAATCTCTTTCTTCCCCACTTGAACAGTGAAGGAGAGCAGGGTCCAAATGGAAGTCAGAACTCTAGCTACAGCCAATCTTAAAACATTCCGAAGAATTCCATAGTGGACCAGTTGGAAATAAACCATTGGACAGATTTCAGTTATGTCTTCAATGGAACACAAATGAAAATGAATAGCTTGTTTCTGTCAAGCATATTGGGAAGTGATTTTATTTTTGCAAATAAGTTTTTCCTTACCTAATTTGATTCTAGCACATAATTGATTAAAATCTCTTGATTATAAAAGCATGAAAGGTTCTAAGGGAACCTACAGACAGACTTACATAGACATTTCAAAATTAATAGCTTTTGATTAGTATAATTTTTCTTAATTTGGATAATAGAAATTGTAGCTTTTTATTAAGCCACGAAACATGAAGCATAATTTGTTTAAAATTCTCTTTGGTCATTGAAGGACCAAAAAAGGACATTAAAAAGTGAAATATATGAGGGGTTTTTTCCCTCCTTAAGTTAAACTTTAAAACTGTATTTAAGGAATCAAATCTTACAAAATCCTGGAAGATTTTGGTAATGATGTTGATAATTTCAGGGAAATTAATCAAGTACCTATTGATTTAAAAGTGTATTTTATTCAATAGTTTTAGTATCTTGCCATGGAAGATACTAGCCCAGCCTAGCAGAAAAGTGCAATATGTATAGCATACTTTGACATTTTAAAAGTTATATTAATTCCGTAACCATTTTGAAATGCTGGGCAAACTTTTAAAAAAAGAATCCTACATGATGTTATTTGTATTTGATTCACAGTTAATCAAGCATTTTGAAAGCTAATTGGATAAAACACGATAATATGGTTGAAATTTGGTAACATTTTAATGTTAATTTTTACTCTACTGTGAAAAGTTTTTATATGACATACACACCCTAGTTTATTTTTGTGTCTTAGTGTGGATTTACAAATTTACTACAGGTATCCTGAGCCAGGAACACAATCAGGTTTCAGGCCAGTTTGATACTGGCTATTCTTAATTCTCATGAGTGTAGGACTTTGGACTAAATGTCATGTCAGTGGGACTGTGCTGTCTGTGGAACTTAATCATTTTCTTCAGATTTAAGGAGAGTGATAAAATTTGGAGTCAAAGGATATTGATGTACAATTTAAGGATTACATTTTTTTATAAATCAATTGTGAACAATGGGTTATTAAATTAAATGTTGACTTCCTAGTATAAAACTGCAAGAATAAAAAGTAAAGTTCTCCAGCTATATTGACTAGTGTCTTGAATTTATCTCTTTGAATCTGCCTTATGTTTTCTGAGAGTCCTTCTTCCTTTAGATCAGTATTAAAGTCTTCTATAGTTTGTCAAGTGGGTAATTTCAAATGGCTTATGAACAGACTCTGGAGTTCTGCTTCCTAATGGGGAGGATTAGATAAGTTGGAAAGGAAGATTATGTGTAAAGTCAGTACCAATGATAAATACAGGTCTCATAGGCTTACAGGACAGGATAAGAAATGAGGAGAAAAGCTGTCCTCAGGTCTGAAAGAATTAAGGTTGGATTTGGGTTGGAAGAGCAGACTGATTATATATCACAATCATTGACTTGACCCTAATTTTTCACTTAAGCCCACCTTTATTTCAAGGTTTTCATTTTGAAAATTAATACATGTGACTTGCAGTTTTGTTTTCAACCTCTTGTTACAGAAAATTTAAAACAGATACGAGTAAATAAAATAGTGTAACGAACCTCCATATGTCGTTACCCAGTTTCAACAGTGATCAGTTTATGACAATTTCATTTCATCTAAACTCACATCCACTTCTCATATAATATGCATATTATTTTTGAAACAAATCCAAGATATCATATTTCATCAATGTATTCCTAAAGGTAATGGCTCTTAAAAAACTAAGTGTTATACCTGAACAATTAGTCAAAACAGGGGCGCCTGGGTGGCTCAGTGGGTTAAGCCTCTACCTTCGGCTCAGGTCATGGTCTTAGGGTCCTGGGATTGAGCCCTGCATCTGGCTCTCTGCTCAGCAGGGAGCCTGCTTTCCCCTCTCTCTCTGCCTGCCTCTCTGCCTACTTATGATCTCTGTCAAATAAATAAAGTCTTTAAAAAAAAATTAGTCAAAATAATTGTTAAATCTAGTCAGATCTAAATAAGGATAAATTATTGCAATTGATGAATCCTTTAAATCTTTTTAAATCCATAGATTCCTCCTCCCATCTTTTTTTTTTTTTTATGTTCAGTTAGCCACTGTTTAGTACATAACTAGTTCTTGCTGTAGTGTTCAGTGATTCATCAGTTAAATATCACACCCAGTGCTCATCACAGCACTCCTCAATACCAGTCACTCTGTTACCACCACCCTACCCTCTCTTATTTTTTAATTTTCCCTTTTTGGCTTGATTATCTACTAAGAGTATCTCTCCATATGGATCTTGCTAATTGTATTCTTGAGGTACCATTTAACATACTCCTTTTTCTCTATTTTCTATAAATTAGTCATTGAATCTAAAGGCTTGATCAAGTTCAGATTTAAAAGAAATTTTTTTTTGGTGCAGGTAGACTACTGTGTAAGGTTCTTTTATCAGAGGGCATATCATACCTGGTTGTCTTTCTGTGACTTATCAGCCATTGATGACATGAATTGTTTTTAAAAATCAAATAGTAAAAAAAAAAAATCAAATAGTGCTGTAGGCTGCACTGTCTAGTGTGATAGCCACTAGCTACATGTGGCTGTTGAACACTGAAAATGGGGCCAGTCTGAACTGAGATGTGCTATAAATATAAAAATAGTGTTAGTTTCAATACTTAGTACAAAACAAAATGTAAACTAGTGTTTTTAACTATTAATATAAATGATAGGATGATGGGACCAAATAAAACAGTATTAAAGTTAATTTCACCTCTTTTTAAAATGTAAGACAATTAACGATCACCTAAATGGCTTGCATTACAATTGTTGGACTGTGCTGCTGCAAGGCAAGGAAGATGTTAGACCCCTGACCCATTCTCCCTACTGCTCATTCCTGCTCCCCAGAGCAACTTTTAGTTATTTTTTGCTGTTGTGTTACTTCCACATTTCCCAATAATAAGCATATAATTACAGCACTTATTGAGCACTTAGGTGACAAGAATTTTCTCTGCTTTCTACATTATGAAATTGAATTCTCAGAACAAGAGAAGGAAACTCAGGAACAGAAAGTTAACTTACCCAATCACAGGTCAAGTATGTGACAAGAGCTTGGATTAGGTTTTAATTCTTAAAACCTGGGCAGCTGGGCTCCAGGGCCCATGTTATTAATGACTTTACTGCCCCCTCTGTTTACCTTCCAGTTTTTTTAATTCTTTTTTCAATAGTAAAATTATCTAGTAACTTCCTACTCTGGAAGATGAAGATTTCACTTTCTTATACACCCCCCTTTATTCTCCTGTTTCCCCACCAACCAGGTTCTATACTAAGACTTCTATTCCATAGGGCGCCTGGGTGGCTCAGTCATTAAGTGTCTGTCTCAGACTCAGGTCATGATCCCAGCGTCCTGGGATCAAGCCCAGCCGTCAGGCTCCCTGCTCATCGGGAAGCCTGTTCTCACACTTCCCCTGCTTGTGTTCCCTCTCTTGCTGTGTCTCTATCAAAAAAAAAATCTTAAAAAAAAAACAAACCCAAAAACTATTGCATTGCATTCCTAATTTAATTATATAATTTTTGTTAAGTTAATATAAAGTGTACATAGTAACAAGTTCTGTAGTGTACTGTGTTATATTTCCTTTGAGAATATTTTTAATCTTTCTGAAAGGAGTAATTGCCTTGGTTGTAATTTGCTCAATTTGTATCTTTTGTTAATTTATCACTGGAGTAATTTATTACTCATTTATTCCCTAAGTCACTCATAAGAAGACGTTCTTCCCCCAAGTCCTTCATCTTTTTGTTTTGGTATCCAAGATATGGGGAATCCACTTATTTTTCTTTGCCTGCCTTTGTTTTAATGGGATACATCCTCTAGTTGCTTCAGAAAAGATGCTTTTTAAGTAGCACCTTGTTCTTGTTTGTGAAAGCGCTGTGTTATCATTCTACAGATAGTCATGTAGGTTTTCTGGTCATTTAAAAATATCCTTTGATTCCTGCATTAGCACTTTTTCCTTGAAGTTCCTTTTTTCTGTTTGGTCATAATTTTTCAAATTAGAATCTTGCTTTAATTGTCTCAAGATCCATATTTGAGAGACCAAGGGAGATAATTGGGAGGTCTGTGTGCATGAGTAGGACTTTACAGAGGTGGGCCTCATTACACCACAAAACATTTTCATTATTATCCCACCCCTAACATCCTATTCTAAAGCTCTTCTTTGCCAGTGGGTCACTTTTTCTAGAATGAATGCTTCTGACTTTATCTGTGGTAGTACGAGCTGGACTGTTAAGAGTTCTTGGAAGCAAGTGAGGTCAGGGGCCTAGGTATTTCATTATTCAGTATTCAGAGTTTCATTTTACATTCCCACCTGCAGTAAGGGATCTCACTGCCATTCTTGCGACCAGATGTTTAACTGGAAGTTTCACCTCCCTTCTTTACCTGTTAATTGAATGCAAATAGCAACCCAAAATACCAGCTGCCTATAAACAGGTAACGTACCATACAGATCCACAAAGCAACAATAAAGCATAGTATTAAATATTTAGCATAAATTATCTGATGTAATCTTCAAAACAGTACTATTATCCCATGTGAATACACACCCTGTTTCTTTCCTCTGTGCCTCTTCACCCCCAAATGTGTTTTATCTCATTTTGGCAGTCATTCAGACCATATAAGGCCTAAAAAGTAACTATTAGGATTTGGTTTGTCCTAAATGGTATTACAAGGGGAATCTGGAGTAGAAAAGTCATGTGACCACCTTGAACTTCTATTTCTGAGAATGTCAGTCTAGTTTCTAGCAAACTCCCTATAAGAACGAGAGAGGCTACACTCTCCCCAAAGGAAATTATTCTGAATTTGGTATTTATTCATCTCCTAATTTATACTTACACTATATAAGTACATCCATATACGTATAGATAGCAGTACTTTGTATGGTTTCAAACTATATTGTACACATTTCTGTAGTATATTTCTCTCAACATTCCCTGTGCAAGTCATGTTCATGTGTACCTCAGTTTTTCCATTTTTATTAATCCTCATCAGCTGTGTCTGTTAAGCCTACCCACCGTCTACTGGGTTTTTTAATTTCAGTTATTGTGTTCTTAAATTCTAGAATTTCTATTTGATACTTTTTTTGTAGTTTTCATTACTTTAATAATTTTTGTCATCTAAGTTATTGAATATGTAAGTCAGTTAAAGTTTGAAAATTCCAACATGTGGATCATCTGTAGATGTGTTTCTATTGTGTCTTTTTAAAAATATCTTTTAAAAATATTTTTTCAATCATGAGGTCTTACATACTGCTATTTCTAATAAATTTTATAGAATTCTGAACAATGAATATGACAAACTGTAAGGAATGTTTGTGGCTCTGTCTCAGGGGTCTATAAACTGTGCCCCATGGGCCTAATCTTCCCTGCCATCTAGTTTTGCCTGGACTTTGAGCTAAGCAGGTTTGCCATATTTTTAAATGTTTGAAAAATAATTAAAAGAATATGTGGCAACACATGAAATAGAAAATTCAAAGCTAAGTGGCCGTAGTTTTGTGGGTATCCAGCCACACTAATTCATGTATGTACTCTCTGTGGTTGCTTTGTGCTACAGTAGCAGAGTTGAACAGTTGCAATAGAGACCTTATAGCCCACAAACCTAAAATATTTATTGTTGCCAACCCCTTGCTGTAGATAATGACATCTCTCTCTAAGAGAGGACTTAACTGCTGGTAGGCCCTTAGGTTAGCAGGAAGGTCACCTTAATTCAGTCAGGGATTTAGTTGATTCAAAGCCATTCTTACATTTTATGAGGGTTGGTCAATTTCTGGTTCTCCTTTGTTCTGAGGGTATCATTTCCCAGGGGTTCCAACTAAACATCTGGTGTATCTATCCAGGTTCTCATTCCTCGATGGGCCCAGTTCTTCAACCACAATTTCCCTTCTCTCTGAGATCGTGGCTCTTCAAATCCCACCTTAGTATATATGTCCTACTACATTTGTTTCTATAGATAAATAAATAAGATCAATTTAAAGGCATGAAGGAATTACTAAAGCAGCAAGGGTTTGAAGGGCTATGCTCCTGAGAGCAGGAAAGCTGTAGAGGATGACCCAACATGGAGGGGCGTGCGTGCATGAG